ATCATCGACGCTCTTCTTAAGGCTCAGGATGATCTCCTCTGTTTCACGATAGGCCTGGGTACAAAGATCCATCCTAGACAATGATCTCTCACTGTCTCGAGAAAACTGCTCCATGAGAAGCCTCAATTCATAGTTTGGATCTGGCTGTGGAGTGTAGCATGGCTCTGCAGAATGGCCCGTGAAGGCCGCCATGGGTAACTCCAGCTCCGATGGCCCTTCTGGTTGTGGGAGAAATTCTTCTTGGTAATGAGGTTGTTCTTGATATGCCCAGGGGTCTGATTGTTCTCCGTAGTAAGGGGGTTGGTACTGGAACCCGAATCCATAGTCTTCTCCTCCTTGATTGCTCCAGGGAGTCTCGGGGTAATACCACTCGGATGGTGGTGGATACCCCCAATGATTGGAGAAGCCATGAGGATCCATGATTCAGATATGCACCAACAAAAACAAAAACACCCAAGTGAAAAGCAAGGGTGGAAAAGAAAAGAAAAACGCTAAAATAACAAACTTCTGCCTTTCCTAATAATCTAGAAAGTCCCCGGCAACGGCGCCAAAAACTTGACTCGCTATGACACAACTCCTAACAATGGCCAAGTGTAACCAATGAAAGGGACTGCAGTATAGTGGCTCAAGTAATAAATATCGAATCCACGGGTCTCTAGAGTTACTATTACTCAGCTTCAGTTCATTATCTAGCAAACCAGATTAAGATGGAAGAACTAAAACTACTCTAGCAAACTACAGTTAAAGTTAATCTAATTACAGGTTGGGAACTCACTTAGGTATGATTCCCCCTAGCCACTAGCCAGATTAATGGTTGATGATCTCTAACCTGTTTCACTTTCATTCACAATGCGGAGAATCCTTGACTAGACCTTGAGTCTCGACTAAAGGAACAAGGCCCTCTTGAGTCAATTGCCTAGAGGGACGTATCCTTCTCTAGAACAACCGATCAAGGCGTTCTGAACTAGACTCCCACTATCGAAAGAGGTTCTCAATCGATACAAAGCAGTGAATCAACCCTCGACTAAAGCAATCGATCCACTACTATCAATCTATGGTGCTCTATTGACCTAATCAGGTATTCGCTCTAATATGATCAAAGCATAATCAATTAGCTCGACTAAAGCAGAATTGAATCGTGAAATCATGCATAGATTGAATATGAACTCAAGATTATCAAGTCAGAGTACTCATACAATCATCCCATCAAACAAACATAGCTAGGGTTCCTCAAAACCTAAGTGAAGGGAAGTTACTCCATAGAGAAGAGAGAGACTGCAGTAAGAATCTTCAGATGATCAGTCTTCAAGTCCGGGCTTCTTCCTCGAGCTTCCAAGGCGAAGAAATCCTCCAATTCCACTCCAAGAATGCCCTCAAATCGCCCTCTCTTTCTTTGGTTCGTCCCTTGGGTGTTTGGGATCCAAAATCCAGCTCTCCCTTGCAAAAACGCACAAAACAGGCTTTTAACAGCCTGCGTTCGCGATAGGGGATTTTTGGTTCACGATAGGGGATTTTTGGGAAAATCCCCTATCAAGGCCAAAAATCCCCTACCGAGGATTTTAGCGTCACGATAGGGCCCCCTTCTGTTTCTCAGAGAAGCCCGAAACCAATTTCCCCCTATCTTTGATTCTTCGTTTCTCCCTCGTTCGGACTCCAAATCAGGTGCCGTTTGATCCCAGACGCTCGTAGTCTCGTCCTATTTCTTCTCTTGACAAGATTACATGATTATATTGTCACAAACTGAGGTAGAAATTCATTCTTCTTCAAGTCATACCCGAGTTTCTTCCTCCGAGTCGCCAATTGATCTCCGATTGACTTAAACTTGCGCCTACGCTTCACTTTATGTGCTAGGACCTGAAATGTGACAAAGGAACACAACCTAGCGTAAAATAGGCCAAAGAAGCGATAATGCTAGCTTAACCAATCAAGAAACAAAGGGGAAAACATGTGCAAATATCGAGTCATCATACTGCTAAATAAACTGTCGCATTAACACCTGGATCCCAAACTGTTTGCTTTCAAAGATAACCAGTTACGAGATCTCCAGATTCTCCAAAGGATGGCAACAACTGCCATGAACAATGTTGGCTAATGCAGCAAGGCCAGAAGTCTTTTAAGAAAAACTAGAAATGTTTGACGAGGCAATCCTTCCCTCAGATAGTCTAGGCCAGAGTAATCCCAGAGGGCACGAGCCACCGGGCAATAGAGAAACAAGTGTTCCGTAGTCTCAGAACTACCCCAGCAAACCGGACACCAGGGATGTACAACAATCTCCTGGCCTAATTACCTCAGCAACCAACGGTTCCCCCCCCCCCTCTCTCAGGCAGCACCTGAGGATTGTACTGAGGAGGGTCCAGCTGGAGACGAGGAATCCAATTAGAATAGAGTAAGGACGTGGTTCGACCATTGCCAATTTGCCATCGCAAACAACAGCTGTCTCCCAAACAGGATGCTTTGCCAGCTTCATGACAGGCGAGAATGAGCCGTAGCTGTGAGGAAGGTCCCAGTCGGGAAGTATTTCCCTTTATAAACCTGAGCCAGAAGAGACTGGGGTTCCGAGAGAATCCTCCACTCAATTTTAGCTAATAGGGCCTGATTGAAATGCTCAAACCGGCAAAAACCCATTCCCCCCTCATGCTTGCTCCTGCACATATTTCGCCAGGACACCCATCGAATCTTCGATTGGCCTTCCTAGGCTCCCCACCAAAATTGGGCCACATGTCTATCCAGCAGACGACATAAAGAAAGAGGAAGCCTGAAGCAGGACATCACATGCAGTCGCAGGGGTAAAACTAAAGCAATGGGCTTGATCAGAGTTTCCTTAGGCGCCCAAGATAAAGTTCTCTCTTACCACCCCTGGAGCATTTCTAGTAACTTCTCCTCCAAATAGCGAAAGGTATCCATCTTAGACCGGGAAATTAGCGTGGGCAAACCAAGGTACTTATCGTGGACACCCACCGCCCCTACCCCCAGAATCGCATCCATGAACTCCTAGTCTGGCAGCGCAATATTTTTCCTAAAGCAAACTGCCAATTTTGCCAAGTTTACTCGCTGGCCACTAAACTCCTCATACTCGTTCAAGGCCTCAATCAGATTCTCACATTCCTGAAGATTGCCTAGCAGGAATAAGTAAGAATCATCAGCAAAAAATAGATGGGAAATTCTGGGGGCACGGGGAGCCACTTTGACTCCCTGCAGCTTCTGCTCGGAATTGGCCTTGCGTAGGAGAGTCGCAAATCCCTCAGTGCATAGCACAAACAGGAGGGGGGATAGCGAATCTCCCTGAAGAAGTCCCCTAGAGGGAGAGAAGTAACCCGACGGGGTACCATTCATAAGGACCGTGAAAGACGAAGACCGGAGACACTCAAGTACCCATCCTCGCCATACCGAATTAAAGCCCATCTTATTCAAAACTGCAAAAAGAAACGGTCACTCGACTCTACTATAGACCTTTTCCAAGCAGATCCCGGAGCTTGCTTAGAACCCATCAAGAAAACTGTTTTCCGAACCTCATCAGTTTGAACCTCATCCGTCAAACTATCATTCATTTATGGCGAAACACTACTAGAAATGGGGAGAGTTGCCACCCTGTCAGCCATATTCGGAACTTGTGACTTCGACGTAAAGAGAGCCTGGTAAAAACCAGTGGCAATGGCCGCTTTCTCAGCCTCCTCCGTAATCCACTCACCATTTTCAGTACGCAAGCCAGAAACAAAATTCCTTTTACGACGAGTTCTCGTAACTGGGTGGAAATTCCTTTTACTGAATCTCAAATCTGGAAGTATCATTCTTACAATTTTATGAAATCAAAACTACAGAATCAAATGCATTAATATATCAACTACTGCAAGAATGAAAGAATAAACAAAAAAAAAGGATTGAAATCGAGGGAAATGGGGGGACAGTCTTTGAGTAGTAGGGTTAGGGTTTTGTTTATGTACCTCTTCTCTCATAACTATGTATACAGAGAAATTTCAAAGGTAAATAGTCTCAAAAAGTAAAATTCAGGTTGATTTTTTCATAACATTATGAAATTTCAATTATTGAATAATATTGTTTGGCTATAATCCATAGATAAGGGGTCTGTTCATCCACACCTCATTTCCTCCTCTCTCCCAAAATCTACATCGAGCTTTTCCCGAACATTTCTCTTCACATATCTCTTATCTCATCCACCACAAGCCCTACCTCCATTTCCACCGCTTCATCTCTACACAGTTTTTTGATAAATTTTTGTCAATCGAATTCCATGGGCGCAACAAACTCACGCATGTTTGCGAGTTTCAGCGCCCACAGAGTTGCATGTGCTTCTGTGAGATCCTTTCGCCAAGACATCCTTTTTGTGATTCAAACTAGGTTGCATGCCCTTATACAATTGTAGGTGATGCTTTTTGGTGATGATGAGAGGTTGGAGAAGCATCAAAATGTCTCGCGTGTCTCAGTAGAAGCAGAATATCGAGCATTGGATGAGATCTCTCTTTCGTCAACTACCATGTCAACCTAAGTAGTCCTACCTTCTGTGATAGTCTTTCTGCTGTCAAGAATCAAGATGACACAAAATTCAATCCAACACGAATGCACCAAACACATTGAAATCCGTTGTTACCTCACAAAGGACCAAGTCTTAATTAGCTAATAAGCTTCAAGCTCAACAAATCTCTTTAACCTTACAGCTACCTAATCCTTTCACTAAAGAGCTTCTTATTCATGTTTTTGTAGAGTTATTATCCAAGCTAAACATGAAATCGATCAATCTATGTCTAGCATGTGGGGAGTATTAGAATGTACTATACCTTGTTTAACTCATTATGATAGTTAAGGTAGTATAGTGAATAGTTGTATAGGAATAGATGTAATGTTTTGATAGTGTAGGTACTAAGTAGTAATTAGTGTATAGTTAGTTATTAATTAGTTATTTCCCACTATCTCTATTTCCTGACACTTCTAGTTTTCCGTATTTGTATCTTGACGCATATTTTGTTCGTCTGCAAAAAAAAACCTCTACTTATTCATTAAAAACATCGTATCAATCCCTACAGAAGTAAAATCGAAACCTTCCAAAACGCTAAACAAACAGACAACAAAAGAATTTAAAATTGGAATGATGATCAGTAAATAATTACTGTCACTGTCGCATCATTTGAACTTAGAAAGCAGCTGCGCGGCCACATTGTTATCCGCCTGAAGCGCCTTGGCCACAACTTCCACCGGCAACTTCGGATTTGAACCCAGAACCGCCGCGACCACCCGCTGGGTCCCAGGGTTCTGGCTGTCCAGCGCGGAGATCGCGACGGCGGGCCCCTTGCCGACGTTCCTCTGGTAGTGCGTCAGCGCCTGGGGAAACACGAAGGCCTCGCCGGCTTGGAGGACCTTGGTGATCAGCTTGGTCTCCGGCAATGTGGTGACAAAACCAACCTCGAGGGAGCCTTCCATCACGATCAGCATCTCACTCGCCCTCGGGTGGATATGAGGCGCGTTCACTCCACCTGGGCCGAAGTCGAGGCGGCCCATGGACAGGCCTTGGGTGTTGAGGCCCGGGATCTGGTCCACGGTCACCAGCGTGACCTTGAATCCGGCCGGGTTGGCCGTGTCGCCCGGTTTGTTGAGCCCGCTGAAGGTGAAATCGTTGGGCGTTACTGACTGCGGTGGCTTGCATGCGAACCCGTTCATTGGCACTGCATTGTTAAAGAAACGATTAAGCATCACTATTGAAAATGAAACATTTGCGTGTCGCGGTCTTAATTCCGCGCGTACCTCCGCCCTTGTCGGCGACGCAGTAGTCCTGGAGCGGCTTGCCATCCGTGGCGAGAGCTGGAGAAGAAGTTAGCGAAATGAGAGCGATGAAGACAACTAGGCGATTAGCGGCAGCCATTGCTGACGTTTAGAGTAAGGTTTATTGGATGATATATGGATGGGTTCGGTTAAGTATATGAAGTGGTAGTGATGAGTTATATATATACATGCATTTGGCGAAAGCTCAATTGGCGCCATTACCACACACAAGAGTGACAGCTGCAAACAATTCCTTAACTAACGGTAGAAACGTTGAAATGATTTTGGTTCAGATCCATCCCTCTTCCTTGCATGAAGGAATTGAGTCCCCGTAACACAATTTTACACCAAAAATTAATCTCTGTTCAAACCATTTTTTTTTATTATTTTCGTGTTTGTGTACGCAGAAATAAATGAATAAAGTAAACGTCTAAGAGTTCTTTCGTTAAGAAAGAGGTCATCATCAAGGAATGCATGGTAGATTTGTAGTTGAATTGGTCTTCCCCCAAACTGGGCAGCGGGTTTTTTTCTTTTTCTTTTCAAAACCAAATTCAGTCCAAGAACATCGGGTAAAATATTCACCGAGTTTAAGGAGAGCAAATTCATTCCAATTCAGTTAAAAATTGATGTTTTATGAGTACCTATTAGCTTAGGTATATCCGCCCAATATTATATGGATGTTCCCCGTGAGAACTGTCACGCCCTTACTCTTGGTCGTGCGGCCCTAGCTCTCAATTCCGTTAGAGATGCTAGGCAGTCTTCTCACAAGCTCTCAAACTCACTCAACTCACAAGAACAAGACACAAGAAGATGGGAGAAACTCTAGAGTTGTATTGCTCACAAAAATGATGGATGAGTTACAAGTGAGGGAGATGGCTCCTTATATAGGCCTCTCCTCATACAAGGCATCAATGCCCCTCATAATGTCCGTCTACTACATCAATACACCCCATAAAGTCCCCCCCATAATGCACCCTAATAATGCTACCCATAATGTAGCCCATAAGTGCACCATTAAGCTCTCATTTAGGTGGAGAATCCTAGGAGCATCTCTATGCTACTAGTCTTCCATACATGCCACATGTGCAGCCGCCTTGTTGTCACCTTGTTGGCGCCATGTCATCGGCCACATGTGACATCCTCTCCCACCTATGCTCGCGACGCCCTCGTCGCGTCCTTGCTACGAAATGCCTCCATCGACCTCGAGCAGCCTCTCTCGACTCTTGAGCCTCGTTGGTGACATTCTCCTCCACTCAATTCACGACGCCCTCGTCGTGGCTCTTTGGCAGATGCCTCCCTTGCCTTAGCCTCATTGCTTGCAAGGTCTCGTTGCACCTTCCTCCAAACCAAGGATGGCCCTGGCTCGCTCTCGAGCCTTGTACTCCCATGATGTTGCGCACTCCTCTGCGGTCTTCTCCGTCGCGTCTTCGAGTGTCCCGCCTTCTCGATCATGGTGGCCTTTCCTTGCTTCTCTTGGCAAGTCGAAGATGACCCATCCTCGTCTTTCATGGCTTCACGATGTTGTGCACTCCTCCTCGTCCTTCTCCAACGAGTCTTCGAGTGAGCCGCTACCTCGACCGTTGTTGCCACTTCTCGCTGCTCTTGCCTTGCCAAACACCTCTTGTTTGACTCGAGTTGCTCTCTTGTCATGGGAACCAATCTTGCTCCGCCATTGATGCAGAATCTATTGGCGTATGGGATCGGGAAAGCTTTCTCCCGCACCATGAACTCCATGCCGATGATGACCTGATAATCATCCAACGACACCACCTCAAAGTCCGCCACCCCGGTCCATCCTCCTAGCTTGAGTGGCACCTGGCGCGCTACTCCATGAGTTCTTGTGGCCCTTGAGTTGGTAGCCTTCATCCACCCTCTTCGCTTCTTCTCGTACGTGATGCCCAGCCTCCGCGCTTCATCTACGTCGAGAAGGTTGCAGCTTGCCCCGGTATCAACCAAGGCTTTTGTCTTCCTTTGGTTGAGCTTTGCCTCTACGAAGCATTGACCGTGTTGCTCAGGATGGGGAGGCTCTTCCGTCCGCTTGATGGCGCTCAATCTCTTCATGCAACCAATCTTCGCGACATGGGGCTCCACTCTTGGAGTCGCCTCCTCCTCCTCTTCCGAGCTCGAGCACTCTGCTAGTACGGCCTTCATTGCCGACAACTTGTGCTTTCTTGGGCAATCTCTCACACGATGCGGACCATCACAAAGGAAGCAAGTAAGTGGTTTCTCAACCTTATGACTCCCTCCTTGGTCCAGTCTACCACGCCTTCGTGTGTCTCGGTCATAGTCGCGTCCACCTCCATTGCCTCCAAACTCCACACGTTCCTCCGGCTCGTGGTACTCGACTAGGGACTCGGCAATCGCCATTGCCTCGGCAAGACTTTGCACGCCTCGCCGTTGTAGCTCCAACTTCGCCCATGGTTGGAGGCCGTCAAGGAAGGTAAACATGGCCTCCTTGTCGGTGTAGTCGGGGATCTCAAGCAACAATTCAGAAAACTCCTTCACATACCCTCGAATCTCTCCTTCGTGAGCAAGCCTCCTTAGTCTCGACCGGGCTTCAAACTCAACATTCTCTGGGTAGAATTGCCTCTTGATCTCCCTCTTGAAGTCATCCCATGACTCCATCACGCACGTCCCTTTATTGATATCGCCTTGGGTCCTTCTCCACCACAGCATGGCAACATCACTCAAGTAAAGAGGTGCAGTTTTTACCTTGGTATTCTCATCTCGAATACCCGAAGCCTCGAAGTATTGCTCCAAGCTCCATAGGAAGTTCTCTAACTCCCTTGCATTCCTCGACCCTTGAAAGCTCTTTGGTCTTGGAATCTCCATGGTTGAGGCAGGTTGTGCGATGGCAGGTCCGTTAGCCATGGCCCTCTTCACAAGCGTCACTTCGCTTTTGAGCTCCGCAACCTCCTCCTTCAAGACGGTCACCTCCGCAGCAGCCGCCTCCTTCACTAGCTCAATGGCATCGTTCATGGCGGTGGAGATGGTGTTTTTGATGAGGGCCATGAGCTCATCTCGAAGCCCTTCATTGCCAACCTCCAAACTCGTCACTCTAGCCGCCACACTTTGAACATCGCCTTGGATTTGGGTGAAGTTAGCTCCCAAATCCTCCATGACGGTGACATCTTCGGAAAGCTTCACCTCCACCCTCGAGACTCGCCTCTCTAGAGACTTGAGAGGATCACGAGTGCTCGACGTACCTTTTGGCCTTCCGCCCGGAGTAGGATCTCTTCCACGTTGCTTCTCCGCATCGTCATGGACTTCTGATCCAGCCATCTTTGGTGAGGCTCTCGCTCTTTCTTATCTTCCTTCTTGGGGAGTGAGGACACCGGTTCTTCTTTCAGAACCAGGCTCTGATACCAACTGTCACGCCCTTACTCTTGGTCGTGCGGCCCTAGCTCTCAATTCCGTTAGAGATGCTAGGCAGCCTTCTCACAAGCTCTCAAACTCACTCAACTCACAAGAACAAGACACAAGAAGATGGGAGAAACTCTAGAGTTGTATTGCTCACAAAAATGATGGATGAGTTACAAGTGAGGGAGATGGCTCCTTATATAGGCCTCTCCTCATACAAGGCATCAATGCCCCTCATAATGTCCCTCTACTACATCAATACACCCCATAAAGTCCCCCCCATAATGCACCCTAATAATGCTACCCATAATGTAGCCCATAAGTGCACCATTAAGCTCTCATTTAGGTGGAGAATCCTAGGAGCATCTCTATGCTACTAGTCTTCCATACATGCCACATGTGCAGCCGCCTTGTTGTCACCTTGTTGGCGCCATGTCATCGGCCACATGTGACAGAACCTACGGGATTGTGAAATTGAATCCCCTCCGGCCTCCGCAACTCAAGAGAGGGCTTCTTGATAATTGTAGAGGAAGCTCTTTTTGTTTTCGTGCATTTTTGTTTGGCAAAATACAATTGTATAGCCAAAACTTTCGCGTTTGTGCAAATAATAGCCAAATTTTGAGAAATACCACTTGTAGTCACTTCCGTCCAATTCTTTAACGGTGTTATTTAACAGGCTGACTGGACTAACAACAATGGTTGATGTGGCATATTTTATTCAAAAATAATGCCAGGTGGAAAATTATTAAATTTTTATCCTTTAACTTGAATTAAATTAAATAAAAAATTAGTTAAAAATCTCCTAACCGGAGTTTGAATCCGCCTCATCTTCCCACCTCTCTTTTTTTCTACCTCCTAACCTACGTTGCCTTCGCCAAAATCACTTCATCTCACCCCATCTATCCTGCACTCAACTCTCCTCTTCTCACCCAAAAGCCAAAACCCCCAAATCTCCTCGTCGTCCCACTTCCGCGACTAGAGGACGGTGTTCCTAGCTGGGAAGAAGAATGGACAGGGGGACTCCAGGTACTCCTAGACGAGGTGGCGGCATTTCTGGTGGTGGTTGACACCTTCGACGCAATAGCACTAGCGGAGCCTTTCCCTCAGAATCTTGGCCTTCTCAATGGCGATCCACTTCTCCTCACGATGTGCTTCCTCATCTCGAGCATCGCCACGGAATCCTTGTACGGATTTGACGGATCGAAGTCATCCGGCGGCGATTCCTCGAAATCGGCGACGCCCTTCTTCCTCTCCATGGAGGAAGTGAAGTTTGGGGGAAATTGAATTTGGTTTAGGGTCTCTAGGGGGTTGAATCTGATTTTGGTTCGATTGGGTTTGTGAATTAGGATTTTGGTTGCATATTAGTGGTTTTAGGGGAAATTTTAGAGCGCCATTCATGGTGGGCGGCTTCTTCCGGACATGCAATTTGGTGGCAATGGCGGTGACTACGATTGAAGCTGGGATCATAGCTGGTCGGTGGAAAAGAGGAGATGAAGATGGAATGAAGGAGGCAGCGGCGTCCCGCTTGATTCCCTCGATCCGCCGTCCCACCCGATCAGAAACCCAGATTCCATAAGTCGCCGCTGCTTCTGGGTCATCTCTCTGTTCGTGCCGTCGCCGTTGATTTTGGGGGAGAACCCTGAAATCAACTTTGGGGAAAGTTGTGGAAAATGGGTCGCAGATGGGGTATATGAGGGTGAATATTTTTTTTTTAATTTATTATTTTAAATATTAATAATTGAAATATCTGACGTGTCACTATTTGCTTATGTGGCGCTGAGTTGGCGTCTAGTCATCAAACTGTCAAAT